TGTAGGCCAGCGGATGAGGAAGCCCCATTCAACCCAGTGAGTGATACCCCTGCAGGCCCCTTTCTGGAACTACAGCTCAATTAAACCTTATGGGGGAACATTTTAAACAAAGAACCACAGCCATCTTACAAACACAGGTAACTGCCATTTCGTTACACCAACCAACAGCCACTGAGGGGACAGTTAGTCCAACACAGGAGGCAAGCCGGAAAAGTGTCTTTGTCAAGAGAGAAAGCCATTTGCCAGTAATTCTGACAGGGCACAGTGGCTGAAGGGGGAGTGGGCGGGAAAGAGGAGCAGACCCAGCACCCGGCCAATGACACGTGAGTACTCTTGAGTGGCGGCTAATGGGCCAATGGCTGAGGGAGTGCATGGAATGTTGCCACTCCAAAACAGAATTATTATATAGAGAGATAGTAATTAAAACCTGGATCTGCCAACTGTTTTCTGACCACAGTACAGCCACTTTAAGCACTTTTGTATTTATGATTAATTTTTTTAGACTGCTTTCTCAAGAAAAGCTTTTGAGGAGATTTACAGATTAAAAACAAACTGTAATTGTAATAAACTTTGGTACAATTAACTGAAACAATATAATAAAATAGCAGTGTAAGATAGCTAGCCAGAGACAATAATTTGTCCTCCGTCCCCTAAAAATAACAGTGACTAAAAGTTCACTATAAAGTTTCAGTTTGAGCAACAGAAAGGTGCTAAAAGTTATAGCACAGCTGTAGTTGTTTTAAAAAGTCAGGACAAAACCCACCTACCTCCATCCAGTATCAACTAAATCAGCATCCAACATCCATAGATAACTGGGCAAAGAGGAAAGTTTGAACCTGGAAGTGAAAGATATGGTGCCTGGCAGATAATTACGGGGAGAGACATTTCACAAGAATAATTTACAGCAGAAAAGGCCATATGCCTAGTGACCATCCACCTCAGCTCTGAACTTGAGAGTACAGAGTAAGACTTCTCTTTACTATATGGTAGGGTTGTCAACCTCCAGGTTAGTGACCATCCACCTCAGCTCTAAACTTGAGATTACAGACTTCTCTTGACTATATGGTAGGGTTGTCAACCTCCAGGTGTGGCCTGGAAATCTTCTGGAATCACAACTGCTCTCCATACTGCACAAATCAATTCCTCTGGAGAAAATGGCTACTTTGGAGGGTGGACTCTGTGGCATAATACCCCTGTGAGGTTGCTTCCCTCCCCAAACCCTGCTCTCCTCCGGCTCCACCCCCAAATCTCCAGAATTTTTCCAGTCTGGAGCTAGTAACTCTACTATCTGGCCTCAGATTACTATCTTAATTGTCCCATCCATAGTAAGTCAGCCAATCTGATTTTAAGTGCTTTACTTTGGCAGAATGTGATCTCAGAAGTAAATGAGGCCTACAATGTGTTCTTTATTACAGTCTTACTTGTTGCTCGGTGCCACCTTAATTGAATGAGGTAACTTCAGCAAAGTTAGAAAACCTAAACTCCTATGCTTGGGAGTGCTTCAGCTAACAAGACAGTCCAAAATTATTACAGTGAAGGCAGGAAGGAACTAAGTAATGACCACCCATCATTTATTCAAATCGACATATGCTATAATGAAGGAAATCCTTAATAGTCTGTGATTTAAACAGATTACCTCATCTATAACACCTACTAAACTGGTAAATTTAAAAACAATGGATAATAATCAGAGAAATGCTTTAGTTTTTTTTCTTACAAGAAAAATAGTTTTCTTCATGCAACAACATTTTTTCTGGGTGTATTTTGGTTTCTTATACTTGTCAACATTTCTTCCAGCAGTCACAAATGAATCCATTCTGGAATCTCTCACACCTAAAACATCTAAGCCTCTTGACTGGCCAAGGGCAACAATGGGTAATGTTGTTTTTCACTGTGAATGGTCATATTACATTTATGTTTCATCAGAAACATTTCCATTCCATGTGAATCCATTTCTTCCAGAATATAATTACCATCCTTTCAGTACTGACCTTTATCATACCTCCTTCCTTCTTAAATTCTCACATTACCAAAAGCATTAAAACTTGTATTTTTCCGTGTAGAAACATGGCTCATTCTTACTTTAAGATTTGCATGGATTTCCCTATCATCATTTTCTTATCCATCATGTTCCACAGCTTTATTTGTAGAAATCATTATTGGAGCTATTTGTAGAAATCATCTTTGGAGCTCTAATATCTGTTTCACATCAATGCAAAATGATTTGATACCACTTCATCATCATCAGCTGTCTTTCCCATTCCATTTTGAACTTTTTTCTTCATCATGGCAAGTTTGTTGCATGTGCCGTTTGTTTAAAAATAATTTTGATCTTTATGGGATGTAAATAAAACCTTGATGATCTTTTCAGCGCCCTCTGAAACACTGCTTACTCCTTTTAAGTGGAAGCCTTCTGCCACGCCAGAAGGATGGCTTGTGAAACCTGGTAACGAAATATTCAATTTATCAATGCAGAAAGCATTTTCAAATCTATATAGTGTCTTGCTATGAAATAACTGGTTGATACCATAAACCTAAGTACAGTTACTTGACATAATACCATACCAATAAAATTTCTATATATGTTTTTCAAAGCAGCAAAAATTAAACTCATTTAATTATTGAGCAAGGGTTTGTTAATAAAATGCAAACATTTGATCTATATTGCAGTCATATGAAATTACATGTTGGTTTTATTGATATTACAAACAGGAATGAAATATGTGTGACCTACTGATTTTAATAATCCTATTCATTTTCAGCTCTTTTTACTTTCAGAATTATATTAGTTTGTTTTCTGAAACTAGATTTCTCATGAAAAAGAAACACCAGTCTGAGTTTTTTAATCATGCAATTGAGATGGGATGTGTATGTATGTGTGAGAGAGTGTATGTGATTCCCTTTTCCTAGCTTTTGTCAAAAGGATAGCGTGCTGATTTCAACTTTGTTCATGAGAAATAATGAACACATGTCCTGTGTGCAGTAAGTCTGGTATTATGGACCTACTTACCTTGAGTTTCAAGACTTTTTATTCACAGCTTCTCTAATTATATATGTTTAAGATTTTGAAATAAATAAGAAATATTTCAGATGTCTGTTTTACAGTCTCAGAATGGTGACACAGTTATATTTGTCTTTTTCCATTCAGTGTTTGATTTTTTTTTCTAGCTTCTAAATCACCATCGGAACAGAATACACCTAAAACCTCTAGGATTACTGAACAGTTAAAAACTACTCCAGGTAACATAAATTTCCTGGAAAAGTTGTATAGCATGAGGAAGCTCCATCCTTGAGGATCTATTTAAGTCTGACAATGCAAAGAAAAAAATCTTCACATTGCATTCAAGGTCAAAGCATTAATTCTTCAGTCTTGAAATCTTCTTTGTTGTAAAGCAAACATGCCCATTGGAATTAAATTGTATGGGGGGAAATTTCAGTATCTGCTCTTTGATCAATCTAACCATGAATTTGTGTGCAAAAGCAGATACAAAATGTGTTTGCTGTTTTCATTAGGAAAAATATATACTGTATTCATAACCTATTCAAAAATATCACAACTTGTTGGGGAAAAAGCAAAGGGAAATGGAGTAAAGAGGTAATTGAGTAAAAATATATATATTTCAAAAGGCCTTTTTATACATCTAGGAGCTGCGGTGGCTCAAGTGGTTAAGATGCTGAACTGCAGGCTGTGGAAGGTCAGTAGTTCAGCAGTTCAAGACCCGAGTTGCCACATGACGGAGTGAGCTCCCATCTCTAGTTCCAGCTCCTGCCAACCTAGCAGTTCGAAAGCAAGAAATTACAAGTAGATAAATAGGTACCACTACAGTGGGAAGGTAACAGTGTTCCATGCGCCTTGGTTTTAGTCATGCTGGCCACATGACCACGGAAATGTCTTCAGACAGCGCTGGCTCTTCGGCTTTGAAACGGAATGAGCACCGCAACCCTAGAGTCGGATTCGACTGGCTTTTGAGCAAGGGAACCTTTACCTTTACTTTACCTTTTATACAACTAGAAATTATTCTTAAATTTCTTTTTAATAGTTAAACTATCTTGTATCTTATGGCATTGAATATTGACAATAATTTCCACTCATGGAACAGTGGACCATTTTTGCTGATTCCTCTCCTACTATATACCCTCAATTTGCCCCTCGTGCTATTCCTTTGCTTCTTAGACCTGCATTTTGGGGGAAATCTGTGGTTCACAGCAGGAGGGGGAAGATAATAAAATTGTATTCCATTACCATTACCTTCTATTACCACTACCTTCTATTAACATAAATTATCGCTTAGATCCAACTCATGACCTAGAAGATTTCTTATTAACTATTTATACAGTGAATTCATGTTTACTTGCCTGGGTTTCCTATGACTCATTGTATACTTAATATGTTAATACCAGAAAACAGGTAGGAAATACTTCTAAGATATTGTACGCTTACTTGTGTATTTGCTAGTAAAATGTTGTAACTTTCATACTAGAGCAAAGGGAGATAGAACTATGGATTTTATTCAGTCAATCATGAGCAGAAATCCACTGGAATAAAACTTTCCCATCTCCCCCTTCCTCCAAAGCCCACTGTGCTCCCAATACTGCCCCTTGGGTTCAAAGAATCCCCAAGAACTGTGAAGCAGAAAGGAGGAATCAGCAAAAATCTCAACCCATTCCAGTTGAATTATAGAAAACAACCATTGGATGTAATCAATTAAGATTTGTTTTAAAAGCTACAATAAGGCCCCGGTCACCCAAAGATTTTGCCGCACGAAAGGCACGAATGTCGGGTGGATTTTTGGGCACGATCACACCGCAACATCTGGGAAGCGTAGCGCACCCGTGGCCAACCCATGGCATCCCGCTGAAGATGCAGAGTTAAAAAATACCAAGAAAAGTGCACTATTATCCGGAAGATGCGTGGCACAGGCGGGTGTCTGATCGCGGGAGCACTAGTATCCCATGGCATCTGGCACCCGTCTACATCCTGTCGCAAACTGGATGTTTTTCGTAAGCGCATGCACACAAACATGAAACTGAAAGCAGTGCTGCTCCTCGGAACTGTGCATGCACACAAATGCGAAACGCTTGTGTGATCGCGCCGTGCCGCTTCTTTGCCACACTGCAGCATCGCCATGTGATTGCCAGCTAACAGCCTAAGCACGGAGACTTGAGGAACCGTGTGATTGGGCTACCGTGCTTTATTTTGCTCCAGGGCGAACAGCCACGCCTCCCCCCCGTTATCTGGCCCGTGTGACCGGGGCCTAAGTTTTGCTTTACTGAGTTTCAGTTCTGACCTAATAGGAGCAACAACACAATCAACTATCATGAGTTCAGCTCAAAATGCAATCTATATTTGTTTAATGATGATAACTACATAACCTATACATACCACTTAGAGCAGGGCTCCCCAACCTTTTTGAGCTTTGGAAGTCTGAAAGGGGGTATGGGCACAATTACAAAATGACTACTGCAGGAGGCAGAACCAACCACAAAATATCCGGGTGATGTTATGCATAGCTCTAATAGTAACCCTTCAGTATTTCAGGAAAAAAGCTCTGCTTCCTAGGATGCCTTTCAAAATGAGCATTGCACTGTCAATCAGATTTTCAATGACCAGTTAGAAGCCTTCCACTTGACCCCATCTACTTTGTAAAAGCACTTGGTGGGTGCCAGGGAAGAAGTTGATGGGCACCATGAGCACCATATTGGGTACCCTTGACTTCAAGTATTGACAGCACTTCACATTCATTATATTGGTAGGCTTTACCGCAACTTTGTACTTTAGGTCACAGTTACCATTATATGAAAGGAGGAATTCTAAGTCTGAGAACAGTACCTCTTCTAAGGACACCTAGTCAGTTTTTGGCAAAAGGTTGATGAACATATTTTTGTTGTCTGATATTTTAAAATGTTTCTTTTTTTCAACTGACTTACTATTTTTGCAAAATTTGTTATTACTTGTCCACTTTAGCTAATATGATTCTGTTCCTAGGAAGAAAAAAAAGACAGTAAGAAGCAAAAATCTATAATACCGCCTGTGTCTTTCAGCTCTGCCGGAAACAAAATTTGTTCCTTCTACATCTAAACCTGCCCAACCCAAAATGCCAGAATCTAAGCCTGGTAATTACGTTTCATGTCCAGGTTTATAACTATTATTATTTTTGTAATTCACACATTTTGTTAACATAGCCTGTATTTAAAAGCTATGTTGCTTCTCTCTGAAGAAATACAAAACCTAACTCTACTTAATTATTTGTGGCTTTGACTTCTTTTCTATTTTACCTCAAACATTAAAAAAGAATTCAGTAAAAAAATTCTATTAAAAACATTCTGGGAATCTAAAAGAAACCAGTTTTTATATTCTTTCTATTTGTAATCCTATTGTGATGCTTAGTAATGAAAATAGGTCTCGGGTTAATAATCTTTTATGTAGAAGTATCTGTTTCCCACAAGATTTATTGTTGATTGTTTTCTCTCTTTTTTATCAGCAGAAAACGAACCTCAATGGGAAACCACCACACCTAAAATTTATAAAACCCCTGAATTACCAAGAACAACACTGGGTAATGGTTAATTAGGTTATCATGAAACCACAGGGAGACATTGTAGTAAAATATCTGTTCATTTATTGCCATGAATCCAACCATATGCTTCTGTCTTCAGGAAAGAAGACAACAATCTCCATCCATCCAACTGCAGACCACAACTTTGGCCTTTTTGCTATTCATAATCATACAGGTCTGCTAATTCCGGCCCTGACCTGAGTAGCCCAGGCAAGCCTGATCTTGTCAGATCTCAGAAGCTAAGCAGGGTCAGATGGGAGACTTTCTTGGAATACCAGCAGTCAGGAGGCGGGGGCAGGCTTTATTTAGCCACCTCTCTGAATAACCTCCAGGCCCTCAGTAGGGGTCAGTCACCATAGGTCACCAGGACTTCCAGGTGCATACACACACTCTCTCTCTCTCTCTCTCTCACACACACACACACATGAAAAATACAAAAAAAAACCCTCTACCTATAAGTGTCTACTAATTCCCAGGGCCACAGAGGGTTGAGGAAGTGGGAATGTCCTGCTCCACAAGATGCTTGGAGATATGCCAGTAATTCCAAAGGTCACTACTCTGTGGGTAATAGAGTTTGTGGCCTGGAACTGGAGTTCCTGTGAGTCAGGTGTAGAACAGAATCAGGTTCTCTACTCCTATCTTACTTTTCTGTGCTGCTGCCTGGTACTAATGGGAAGACAGAGGAACCAACTTTATTGTACTGTGTTTTAAGATGGCACTGTCTCATGATTTGGACTTGATTTGAGGTACAGTTGCAAAAAAGGTTAACCACCACTGATCCTTTCTTTTTTCTTTGAAAATGGTTGTAGTAATTAGATCATACAGTGGCTATGTTCTCACAATCCTGTTCAGAGCCAAATTAGAGGAGACAGTAGAAATTTCATGATTGGCTCTCCTGTGATATTTTAAAAGTTGAAAATCATGGTGGATCCCAAATTGGATTAGCAATCTGGAACCTGTGTGTATGTGATGCTTTCTCTTGTAGCATTTGCTATCACATCCCTCAGTCATAACTGCTGTATGGTCCTTAGCAGAAAACATACAAGCCCTGTAGGTTGTCCACTTGGGATACTTTCACAATTCTAGAATTAGGTGTACACAAAATAACAGCTGTTAAAAAACTCCCATTTATTTTACAAATGTTTGCAGAGCAGCAAATCCCAATAGATTTGTATGTTTTGGTGCCAACTAATGTTGTCTTGGACACTTACAAATGGCATTTTCATTTGTATTCCTTTCAGCTCCCAGTAAAACAAAAATCACTGTTTCCAAACCCCAAATCCTTCCCCATCTGGAAGAGCCAAAGATTGTACCGGGTAATTACTATGTACTTTCCTATAACTATTTTGTTCCGCAGCAGGGACCGGGCTTTCTTCTGACTGCTTTGGATAGACATTCATAAAACCACAGCATATGTTGTTCACATGTACTGTTTTCTTATGTAATCTAAAAACACATGATATAAATCATACATAATCACGAGTAATATTTGAAAACAAACTTCTGTGATTAAAAACATGACTTCTAATAGTCCAATGAGATTCCACTAATATATCGCTCCTCGTGTTTTTAATTTTATGAGCTGAATTATAATATTGTGTGAGGTAATTAGTCATTCTTTAAATATGGCTCATGTTTCATGTTAAAATTAGTAGGATGTTCTGGCTTATCACAACTAGCAAAAAATAATAGTGTGGATTAAATTATGAAAATATTTGAAATACCAACAGAAACTGGGGTTAAAATAAATTTCAGATAGATTTTCAGTTTTTCTCATTCCATGCAAATATTTCTGATCTAAACAAAAACTGTTACCATTTTTATTTTCATACTAACCCAATTCACAATTATTTATATAAAACTAAACAGAATTATATAGTATTCCTTTCCTTTTCATAACATTTTTCATATGTAAGTTTGGTTAAGCCTCAGATAAATAGTTCAATTTCCCCAAGTTCTTAAAAGTTGAAACACATTAAATTGGAAGTGCCAGCTTCTTCATCCTGGGAAGGCAGACCTTCCATGACCAAGCCGTTAGATCTGTCTCCCATGTAGCTGCAGCATCTCCTTTCTCTTCTTTCCAAATCCTTAATTACTGTCATCCCCCCTTTCCCAATTCCCAACATCAAGACGTCAGTAGGTATCCTTCCCAATGTGAAGTTGTGGTATTCCTTAGAAACCTGTGCCAAACTGGATGTGGTATAAAAGATGCATAGCATTTCCAATATAAGAGAGGAGGGATCGGAAAAGATTTTGTCATGTGCCAAATGAAGCTCAAGGACTTCAGACTGAACATGGAGAATTCACTCCCAAATTCTTTGTATTTCATTTGTTTAATTTAATTTAATTTTAGTTTAGTGTTAGTTTCCTGTTTTATCAGTGGATGGTAAAAAGCAAATCTGGATAAAGGATCCCATTCCCTTTTCAATACATTTTCTGAATAAGTGATCTGTATTCTGAAAGCTGCCCTGACCTGGATGGCCCAGGCTAGCATGATCTCATCAGATCTTAGAAGCTAAGCGGGGTCAGCCCTGATTAGTATTTGGAAGTCCAGGATCATGATGCAAGGTAGGCAATGGCAAACCACCTCTGAGGTCCTTTCCGCATTTGGATCTCGTCCCTGGTTTTATCAGAGTTCAACTCATGACACAATACCTTGCATTTATCCCTGGTTATAACAGCATCCGTTTATCCCGGGATAAGTGTGGGGCAAAACCGGGGTGACCTCAATGTAATGTGGAGACAAAAAATACCCCAAGATAATTACAGGGGTGAACTCGAGTGTAGTGTAGAATGTAAAAATGCCCCTAGATAATTACAGTGGTGAACTCGTGTATAGTGTAGAATGTATGTTCGGGGTTGAACCAGGATTTAAGGTCTAGTGCGGAATGTCTTTTGCCTGAAAACCCTATGAGGTCATCATAAGTTGGCTGTGAGTTAATGGCAGTTTCCAGCACCATCACTCTAAGATATAGCTTCAAGGCTTAGTGAAGGGCAGCACAGACATGTATAGATTCTTGGTAGGCATCTAGATGCAGATGGGCAGTACAAGCAGTGATATCACACCATCACTCTAAAGCTATGAGCACCAATAAAATATAGCTTCAAGGCTTAGTGAAGGGACAGCACAGACATGTATAGTTTCTTGGTAGGTATCTATATGCAGATGGGCAGTACAAGCAGTGATATCTTCTGAAAGGATGAAGTGAGAGAGAAGATGTAAAATATGGAAAATATTTATATCCCACTAGTGAACTTTCCCTTGATTAGAGTTCAGTTTTGCTGTCTGTGCAGCACATCTGAAAAAGTTATGCATGCCCTGATAGTGCCTTATAGTTGCTTAGCCATTATATTGAAATGAGAGGGCACAGATGTACCTTTTGCAATATAAGCTGATAGCTTCATGTTTATTTTATTCATATTTTTCTAGAGTTCTAGGAAGGCTATAAATTTTCAATAACTCTGAGGGGAATATTTGAGTATAAAAACAATGAGACATCCTGCTTAAATGGTTGCCATGTGTTTGTTATTGGTGAGCAGTCTAGTATCCTGTCTTCTTGAGGCGGTGGTATTTTTCCAGTGAAAAAATGATGCAGGGTGGAGGATTTAAACCCATGTTTGCCCAGCACTGCAGCCACATCAGATGAATTTGTCCCCTTGTAGCTATTCGTTTAGAAAAAAAATGAGTTAGGAAATCCAGTCACGGACTTACAATAAGTATGTAGTTTGACCCACAACCATGTTATTGTCTCCATACTCTAATGTTTTGTAGAATGGCAAATTCCAATTTAGAAGTGAGAGAGAACATGTAAAATATGGACAATATTTATATCCCACTAGTGAACTTTCACTTGATTAGAGTTCAGTTTTGCTGTCTGTGCAGCACATCTGAAAAAGTTATGCATGCCCTGATAGATAGTGCCTTATAGTTGCTTAGCCATTATATTGAAATGAGAGGGCTGATAGCTTCATGTTTATTTTATTCATATTTTTCTAGAGTTCTAGGAAGGCTATAAATTTTCAATAACTCTGAGGGGAATATTTGAGTATAAAAATAATGAGACATTCTGCTTAAATGGTTGCCATGTGTTAGTTATTGGTGAGCAGTCTAGCATAATTTGTGATACTTGATTAGAGCATAATTTCTTAGAGGACATGCTACCCCCATGCTACCCACCCAAATACAGAACTGCAGTATCAGCTTGGGGAAGAAAATACTGTTGAACTTGTGTTAGATACATTATTCCCTTGTATACCGTGTGCCTTGTGCAGGCACGAGCCTTAGGACACCAGATTGACAGAGTGTACATCTTCGAACAGATTCTGACAAGCTGATGTATTACTTTTGCTTCCTTCAGACAGTTATATCAGCTGGTTCTGTATTTTAAATATACTGCACACAATTTTACTCTACTGTCCTCAAAGTCCATTTTAAGAAACATCCTGCAGTGGTCTTTCACCTCTAAACATATGAAATATTGCAAATGAAACTTTTAATGTCACAAATCACGAGATTTGTCTTTCATTCTTAAGGTACACTGTCAATGCAAGCTTAATTTTTCCATTGGTGCTTGTACCATAATAAATTTGTTTGAATCAAGCTATAGGATTGTAGCTATAAAAGGTGATGACCTTTTACTGTTTGTAGTCCATCTTAAGGATAAATCAACTTTTCCATTGCATATTTGTTATTGTATCTCCCAGCATGTTTTTTTTTAAACTAGAAGAGCTATCATGTTGGTGTTATAATGGTGAGAAGGGAGAGATTAACTTTCTACCCCTGTGCATTTTTCTTGTTAACCCCCCCCTCCCCTCCACTACAAGTAGCGTTGGTAGGAAAAGAAGACAGGCATCCTGTCTTCTTGGGGCGGTGGTATTTTTCCAGTGAAAAAATGAAGAGTATAAGCTTTTGAGAGTCAAAACTCATTTCATCGGATACCAGATTGCTATCATATTTATGATAAAGTAGACACTCCAAAAATGATATGCCATTAGCTAAGAACATGCTACATTCTTGGAATTCTAAGTTAACAATCCTGAGCTCTAATTGTTCTTCCTCTGTCTCAAAATAATATCCTTTACTCCAGCAGTTACCACCAAATTGATTCCAGTTCCTGTCACTACTAAGGTGTCTCACATTGCTGAACATCCAGTGACAACAATGGGTAATGTCTTTTTCTTCTGTTAATTGTCACCACTCTGGTTTTTTTTCTCTTTTCATCTACTACAGGGAAACATCACTAACTACAGGTGTATTTTATGCCACAATATTTGTAATTAGTATTTTACTAACCTTTTAATACTGAAGTTAATATTCCACTATCATATCATCCTTCACTTCTCTTTGTAGGGATATGGTTCCAGTGTATCACTTGATAAATGTGAAACCATACAAAGATTGACATATCTTACAACTCCGTGACACTAGGACAACCCATGGGACTATAGTGGGAGACCTCCCACTCCTTGACCTCCACTTCTGCTCCACTGCTGCTCAGTGCAGCAGCCAGAGAAACTGGGACAAAAAAGTCATATCGCAGTGACACTGCAACATTGCTTCTAGTCACATAACCAGAAGTGATGTCACACATTACAGCAGATGTTCTAGCAATTGTTAGAGTATCCCCAGTGGCTTCTTGTTATGTGACTGGCAGTGACATTGCTGCATTGTGTAGCATCACATGACACTGTGCAATGCTCAGCCCCTCCCACAAAAGTTCTATGGATGGTTGTTAGCCCTCTGCTAATAACTCTACATAACACTCAATGACTGTCGTGTGCTTTCTTTCTTATGAGTAAAAATTATGACCACTAAAGCCTGGGTACCAATCAGCCTGTAACATAGGTGCCACAGGTGGCATATGCAGCAGACATAGGATAGGAAGTCACATTGACCTGATTGGTGAGGCCTACACTCCTGCTGTGTCTTGAACCACTGCCTGCTTAGCTCTGTAGACTAGAGGAAAACCACACCCATCATGAACTTCAGTTCGCAAATCATGAAAAGGGCAAAATCCATGATGAATTTTGCTTTGTGGTTCAGTTCATGCCCATCCCTATTAGCATCCTCATCCCACTGTCCCAGCCACCTTTATAAATTGCCCCAGCTGCCAAATCCTCTGTTATATTAGCTTCTATAATACTTGCATCCACAGCCAGCAGCAATATGTAAACCAACTGTGAGAATTTGTAAGTTCCATTTCTTAAATTATTGTAATTCTCAAAATAAGTAAGGATACACTGTTCTTATTGTATTTCCTTTCATACTAAGTTATAAACAAATGTCTTTTTAAATATAATATTTAACTAACACAAAACTGTTACAGAAGACTGCTCTGGAATCCAGGAATCTTCCATAATTAAGTTAGACTGTAGATGGATTAAATCAACTGATTATTGAAACCAGACAGGATAAAAGTTTATGTACCATGAAGGTTAAACAGATGATTTGACTAGAAAAGTCTGAATAGGCTCTAAATAGTATTGAGTCTTGTTGCTAGACAGTCGGATGGAATACTTCCACTTGCTAAAGGAAGAGGACAGCTTAGGGAGAAGAGCTGTAGCAAAACCGTTTTGTCCTGGTTCTCAAACAAAGAATCAGACCTGGAAAAGACCCTGTCTATTAAACTAGTTTTGAATACATGATACATTTGATAAGCCTACCTATTTATAGGTATTTTATTTTGTGATTTTATTATTATTGTATTGTTTTAATCTTGTTTTTTTTAATTGGCTTTAATTGTTATTATATATATTGATGGAACCCACCCTGAGCCTGCTTGCGGGGACGGTGGGATACAAGTCCAATAAAATAAATAAATAAATAACATTATAGGAATGGGCACAAACCAGCTCATGAACTAAAGTTTGTGATGAATTTTGACTGATTTGTGGTTCACAAACTGAAGTTCGTGGCAGGCCAACCAGCATGAACTTTCCATGAATTTTCAAGCCGTTTGTGGTGATTTGTGAATGGATACATTTCCAGACAGACTGTCTCTTCTCAAACAAAATGGTTACCAAATTTCAAAGCAATTTCAAAGCAACGGGGGGGGGGAGAGAATTCTCCAGTCTTGGAAACATTAATAGGTTCCCTGTCTGTTTGATGTGTGTAGCTTGCACCTTTGAACCTGCAGTTGACATTTTCCCCAAAAGCACTTTCCTGGGGTAGGGCTGCCAAGTGGGGGCAGGGAGCAGGTAAACCCCCACTTTGGAGGCCTGATTTCCGCCGCAGCAGAATTGGGCCCCGGGGGGAACCCCGCCCCCCGAAGCACAGCATGGCTGCGTCACAGGAAGTGACGCAACCACGTAGATCACGTTGGGGGTATGGCCCCAATCGTCCGAGGGAAAACTCTATGGTTTTCCCTCCAACGATTGGGGCCATGCCCCCAACATGCTCTACATTGTGCATCACTTTCTGTAATGTTCTGGCGGCATGCACGCTTCCCTCGGCAGCTCCCGGACCCCGGCAACGCTCCCCCCGCTGGTGAGTCCAATCGACTTGGCAACCCTATCCTGGGGGCATCTTCTTTGGGGGGGCATATCTTGGAGGGCATGTAGAGGAGCATCAGGGGGAGGTCCCCTGCAAGTTTGATGTTTCTAGGTTGCACAGGGAGTCTATAGACTCCTGAACCTGCCCCTGTCAAAATTACCACCTGTCATTTCTCAAGAAAGCGCTTTCCTAGGGGCATATATCCAATCCTCACCAAACTTGGAGGACAGGTAGAGGAGAGTCAGCTGGTGTCTCTAGCTTACCAGGAAGAGTATTTTACTGCATCATGAATATCACAAATCGAACTGGTTCATTTACCAGCTAAAAGTTCATGATAGTTCAAGGTTTGCGAATCGGGCGTGCTATGACCCATGAACCAAACTGAACTGCATTTTCCCAGTTTGTGACTATTCCTATTTATTTATATGCCACTTTTCCACTGTACAGTGTAGGCAATAGTATACAATCAATAAATATAAATATATAAAATTAGTAACAATGAAATAAGAGCATCCAGAACAAATAAAACAATAAAGCAATTTAAAAAACAGTAGATAAAACCAAAATAAACAACTTCATTCCACAAAAGTGGAATGAAGCCAGGGAGGCACCAGTAAAAAGACTATATCTCTCATGCCAAGAATATCTCTTAAGGCAGAGGGGCACCAGACAGGGTTTGTGATGATGAACATAGGGCCTGAGTAAGATTATATGAGAGCAAGTAGTCCTTTAATTAAGAGTGCATCTATTGACCATCAGCAGTAGGAGGTCTTCCTGCCCTGTGAAGATCAGAAGACTCAGGTATGGAGCTGGAGGAGAGGGTAAATATTAATTGTAAACTAAGATTTGAAAAAGATACTGTGAGACTGCAGTTGGCCTTAGACACTGAAAGTGGTCGCTGAAGCTGAAGGAAGGTGAAAAAGGTTTGCATAACATCTGACATTCCCAGAAATAGGAAGATTTAAGAGAGATTTGGACATGAAGGGAGAGTGGCAAGCTCCAATGGCCCTATATCCACTGCATAAACATCTTCAAACATTTTGTGTGTTAAAATAGTATTTCACCATATTTCCTTTCCATTTATTCTTCTTTTCCCTTCCTCTGTTCAATGTTTTCTACAACCAGTGGCAAAACTGCAAGTGACTAGAGAATCAACTTCAACATTTTGATATGTGTTAATGGTTTCTTCATATATCATGATCCGCAGCCAAGTTATAATGAATGCTTGTATCAGTTTAAAACTAGTAGTGTAACTTGATTGGGGATCTGCTACTAGTGTATTGAGTAAAAAGTGAACTCAAGGGAGCTCACTGATTTAGCTCATCTGTATCATATTTCAGTATTGTTATCTCAAAAATGTTTGGTGAATGGAATTCCACAATATGTAATTTTTTCTAGATACTGCACTGAAACCTAAACCTGTTGCCTAATGTCCTATATCAGGATGTTTTATGTTTCCTGCTTTCTGACTACTTATTAAGGCTTTCTTGATACCAAGCACAATTCTGAGAGTTTGCTTTTTGTGATCATGAATTAATTTTGGGATGGACCTCTTTTTCAGCTTCTTCTGAACCAACCTCTATTCCTTCTCAATCTAAAGAATTTGATTATACCATGCAAGAAGTGCCAGATAATAAACCTGGTAGAGTAACTTTTCAACATGAGTTTTAAATTATTTTGTTCTATAATCAGAAATAGGTCCTTAAGGTTGCACTGGTAAATTTGTATGCAACAAATTTGAAAATTAACGCTTTATATACATGCTACATTATTTTACTCAGTGATGGACTGGCCATTGTAGAAATGTGGAAGATGTACTTTTTTGTACAATGCAATTTAGATTACTGCAGTCATACTAAAAGTATATTGTGCCCTGTACTCTTGAAGAACATGGTGCTCATAGATCCACATGTGTTTCTCAGTTTATTTAAATAGAATGGCCAGGTACATAAGTGTACATTTGTATGCAGATAGCTGTTCTGTCCATTGATATGAATTGGGCAAGCCTTCGTATGCAGAATCTTTATATGCCGTTTGGGACAGTCACAGGCCATAAAACAGTTACTTTAATTAAGAAATAAATTGTATGGAAAATTGCTCTGCTATTTTTATTAGGCAGAGTACTTTAAGCATGCATATTTTTAAAATTCATTACTCTGTAGGTATTTAAGCACAGATTGATTGATACCACTGAATGATTCGCTAATTTTTCCACCTCCCCAGCTCCAGCTGAAACAGACATCTTTTCTTCTAAACCATCTACAATGCCTGAACTCACACTTACTAAATCTGGTAATTATGTGTTTGTGTAAATGGGTCTAATGAAACTTTGTTATTATTGTTAGAGATTGTTTCAGTAGTGACTGGAAAGGAAAGCAGTAAATGATCCAGAAGTCTGCTTTGGGCAGCTAAGTCCATAACCATTGCTACCTAATCACCAGCAGTGCACCTACATAGTTCTGCACAAGCCACCTTCTGCCTCAGGTGCCTCCAAAGATGTCTGACAGCAATGGCATAGGGTTTTTCTCTCTTTCAGTTGCCTCTCAGTTAGCAATGCTATGAATTTCTCAGAGACTTTGCCCAACTCATAAACCCAACACTTATGAGCAGATTGTAAGTATGTCAGGGATTAGGGATGGATATGAACTGCATTTTGTGATTTGGTTTGTTGTTCATGGCTGAATCACAAACCAAACCATGAACCCATACAAACTGGGAGGTTAGTTCACAAACTAACCCATTTCATATTGCTTCATAAGCTATTTAAAGTTTAAACCCTGCTTTCTGCTCCCCACAGCTCTTTGTGGTGAGCAGAAAGCAGAGGTTTCCAAACAGCTGAGTGGCAGGGACCACAACTCAGCTGTTTGGTTTAAATGGCTTGGAGCCATTTAACCCCTGCTTTCTGATCCCTGAGAACTGCCACAGACTGAACCATAATTCATAGGCATCTAAGGCAGTTCTTCAGTTCACAAACATCCCTTTGCAAACCATGAACTTTAGTTCATGAGCCAGTTCATGCCCATCCCTATCAGGGATAAGTTTGGATTGCACTGAGCAAGTAGAACAGTTGCTGAACATGTTTATAAACTGACTCACAGGTGACCAGAAGATCAGCTGAGAGTCAGGTTCTTATCCACCACACCCCTTCAGCAAAATATTTAAACAGTGAAGTTGCAAAAGGGACGTCTTCCCTCAATCCAAGCTGGGCTCAGACAGATACAATACTTCTGATCTTTGCATTGCAAAAAGTAGACAAAGAGTTTGTTTCTCTTCCCTCCCTCTAATCTGGACTAGAACAGAAGCAATGCTTTAATGGCTGCAAAATTTCCAGGATGCAAGATCAGAAGACCCAACTTCCATCTGATCACCTGGAAGCCAGCTCTTGATTTCCCCCTTCCCCCAAAAAAACACTTTGCTGGGTATAGAGCAAAACTTACACAACAGGAGATTAGGAATTCAGCAGCTGGTTGTGAACTTCTGATAGCTATAAGTATGAATACACATGAACAGGTTGTGAACTGTCTGTAAATTAACTGGCTGCCAGGTGACCACTGGGGAATCAAACTAGCAGGTGTTTGAGCATCCCTACCCTCCGTATGCTGTTTCCTTCTTTTGGCACAAAATAGCTGCTGACAGGCTTCTTATATTTGAAGGACGTAAGTTTCTGCTGATAAATAAGAAAAAAACACTATCCTCACAACAGCGCTGTGAGCAATTTAGGCTAAAGGACTTGTCCAAGGTCACCTGAAGAGCTTCCTGGCTAAATAGGAAGATGAAACAAAGCTTCACCATTACATGTCCAACAGTGGGTGACATCTTCCCTTAGACTGAAGGAAGTTCTTCAGTTTAAGAAGACTGAATCTACCCAAAGCGGTTCTTCCATTGGAGGAAGAGCCACTTATGTTGGAAGAAGTCTGTTGGAAGAAGTCTGTAGGAAGTCTTCAAAGTTTGCTTAGTGGAATAGGATGATGTATATCCCAGGCTTGGATAATGTGTGACCCACCAAGTCACATGCAGCCCATCAGCCATTCATGGCTACCTATTAAGGGTTTGTTGAAGCTTCTTCTTTTATTTTTAAAAAATGATGCCTGGCTGGGATTACAGGTCACAAACGACTAGTGTTCAGCTCAGCGGGTCACAAATTATACAGACCTGTTCTATCTACTGGAGCATGCTAGATGAGAGCTTATTTGTTCGCAAGCCATTAATTGTTAAATAAAATTATACATTGGTACAATGTATACAGGTGATTGGAATTTGACATTTATTGTTTTTCTTCATTTATATCTTACCTTTGTCCCCAGTGGGGACCCAAAGCAGCCTACATCATTCTCTTCTCTACCATTTTACCCTCACAGCAGCCCTGTGAATTAGGTTAGGTTGAAAGTGTGTGACTGTGAAGTAGGTTAGGATGAACATGTGTGATCTCCCAGCAGTTTTCCATGGTAGAATGGGTATTTGAACAAGGGTCTCCCAGGTCCCAGGTCAACACTCTGTCCACTGCCTCATACTGGCTGTCATGTGTTACATCTTCTATTGCTTATTCATATTCTCACATGTTCTGATTCCAGGAATGTATTAACATGTAGAACTAATTTCAGTTAAGTGCATAAGCACTTCCTTCAGGAAAAATCTCATTTTTAACACTGAACACACATGGAGCGGCCTTATACAGAATCAGACCATTGGTCCCTCAAGGTCACTATTGCCTACTCAGACCGGTAGTTTCAGGTTGAGGTCTTTCTCATCACCTACTACCTGATCTTTTTAAAATGGAGATGATGGGGATTGAATCTGGGACCTTCTGCATGCCAAGCAGATGCTCTACCATGAGCCACAGCTCCTCCCCAAGCTTCAAAGATATCTACTTTGTGAATGGAAATACTTATAAACTTAAGTACATAAGAAGAGCCCTGCTAGTTCAGACCAATAGTCCATCTAGTCCAGCATCCTGTCTTTCAGTGGCCAACCAGTTCCTCTGGATGGCCAACAACAGGGCATAGAGGCTGAGGCCTTCCCCTGATTTTGCCTTCTGACTCTGTGATTCAGAGGTTTAGTGCCTCTGAATGTGGAGGTTCCCCTCAGCCACCATGGCTAGCAGCCGTTGATAGACTTGCCCTGTGGCCATTCCTGTGGCCATCACTATATCCTCTGCCAGTGAATTTCACATTTTAATCACTCTTTGTATAAAGTAGTATTTTCTTTTGTCCATCTTAAACCTACTGTCCATCAGTTTCATTGGATGCTCGCAAGTTCTAGTATTTTTAGAGATGGAGAAAAAATTATCTCTGTCAACTCTCTCCATCCCATGCATAATTTTATAAACCTCTATCATGTCCCCCCTTAGTTGTCTTTTCTCTAAACTGAAAAGTCCCAGTCTCTTCAGCCTTTCCTCTTAGGGAAGGTTCTCCAACCCCCTAATCATCTTGGTTCTCTTGGTTCTCCCCCCCCCCCTGTACTTTTTCCATCTCTGCAATGTCCTTTTGGAGTTATGGTGACCAGAACTGTAGACAGTATTCTAAATGAAGCAGTACCATAGATCTATACAGGGGCATTATAGTATTGGCCTTTGTATTCTCAATCCCTTTCCTACTAATCCCTAACATAGAGTTTGCCTTTTTCACCACTACAGCACACTGGGTTGACGCTTTCACTGAGCCCCAAGATCTTTTTCCCTTTCACTCTCAGCAAGTTCAGATCCCATTAGCCTATACTTGAATTTGGGATTTTTTTGTCCCACTGTGCATCACCTTACACTTACCAACACAGAACTTCATTTGCCACATTGTCACCCACTCACCCATTTTGTGGAGGTCCTCTTGGAGCTCTTCACAGTCAGCCTTGGTTTTCACCATCCTGAATAATTTTGTGTCATCTGCAAACTTGGCCACTACAGTTTGGTGTGAGAGCCAGTTTGGTGTAGTGGTTAAGTGCGTGGATTCTAATCTGGGAGAACTGGGTTTGATTCCCCACTCCTCCACTTGCACCTGCTGCATGACCTTGGGCAAGCCATAGTTCTGATAAGAGCTGTCCATGAAAAAGAGCAGTTTCTGTCAGAGCTCTCTCAGCCCCACCTACCTCACAGGGTGTCTGTTGTGGGGACGGGAAGGGAAAGGAGTTTGTAAGCCACTCTGAGACTCCCTTGGGTAGTAAAGGGTGGGGTATAAATCCAATCTCTTCTTCTCTTCTCTCTTCTACAGTACTCACCCCTAGTTCCAGATTATTTATGAATAAATTAAATCGTACCAGCCCCGATACTTACTGATCCTTGTGGGATCCCACTGCTTGCTTACCTCCATTGTGAGAACTGTCCATTGGTTCTGTTCTTTGCTTCATGTCATTTAACCAGTTTTTAATCCATAAGAGAACTTGTCCTCTTATCTCATGACTGCAAAGTTTACTCGGGAGTCTTTGGTGAGGTACCTTGTCAAAAGCCCTTTGAAAGTCCACATATATAATATGTCTGCCGGGTCACCATTGTCTACATGTTTGTTCACTTTCTCAAAGAACTCCAAAAGGCTTGTGAGGCAAGACTAACCTTTGCAGAAGCCATGCTGATTTTCCCTCAGCAGGCTTTGACTATGTACCTAACAATTCTGTCTTTGATTACAGTTTCTACTAATATGCCTGGGACAGACGTTAAACTAACTGGACTGTAATTTCCTGGTTTCCCCTGGGATCCCTTTTAAAAAATTGATGTAACATTTGCTACTCTCCAGTCTTCTGGTAAAGTGGCAGAATTTAGTGATAGGTTGCATATATGGGTTAGTAGATCAATTTAGTGATAGGTTACATGTTCAACTTCAGTTAAGCCATTTCTCTATAAAAGCCAGAGCAATAAAGTTTGACTAAACAAATCTGAGGGAGCAGTATCACATTTCATGGTAACAGATATATTTCTAGTGTCTTAATCCAGACTACTCTTTTGTAGACAATTTAATCATTTAATTGTTAGCTGAAAGCTTTAAATCTAATTTTCTCTACTTGCAGTTGGACCATGTCATGTTTATACAGGTGTAAACAATAGTAGCCTGTTCACAGATATTTATATAACTGTCTTTTTGCTAAAACTCAGTTGATAGTTTTTCCAGTGCTCCAATAATTGCAACCCAGACTTAAACAGGATGATGCAATGCAGGCCATTTATAGTTTCTGTATTCCAGTCCTGTAACTACTAACTGAAATATCTGAAAACATGACCTACATACTGTAATAAATTTTAAGTGTAAAAAGTCATTACACTGGATAATTCTAGTGCCAACCATAGACCTATAGCATATAATTGGTACAACTTGGTCCATAATCAGCCTTAATGTAGAGAGCTTTTGGTTCAATAACTATATAACTGCTATGGAGTACATTTTGCTTACTGGGCAATTGAGGCTTAATTGTTAAGTTCCCATCACAGATTTGTATCCTACACTGATAGATTTGGTTCATTCCTTTACTTAATTATTTAAAATATTTTTACCCACCTTTCCCAAACATAAATACTCACTAAAATACAATTTAAAACCTATAGTTTTTGTTTAAAAAAGAATAACAACAAAAATGAAGAAATTCAGCTGTATAATATCCAAATCTCTGCAAAACTCTCCAACTAGCTAGCTGGAGGCTTTTTCAGCTGCGTAGGTCTTACAGAAGTGCCTGAGTTTCAAAAGGGATGAACACATATGTACATCATAGAGGAGGTCATTTCATAATATTTTATTATGTTTTCCACAGTTCAGTTGTTCTAAGACTTTGTATCAGATCCTACCCTTAAAACTACTGAAGACCTTTTAATAACTCTTATAAATATGTTCTTTTCCCTCGTGCAGTCTTGGAACCTATTACGTTTAACAATGAACTTCCAATAGTAGGTAAGGATATTTTTCCGATGAACTGACTGGTCTTCTTCTTATCTCAGAAACCCATGTTGTATTCTCTTCCTCTGCAAGATCATCTAACATCATCCAATTTTTTTTAAATTAAAATAAATCCTCTCTCTAGGTATGTTCGCCATTTAGCACTGAAGACTTAACCATTTTTTTCACAGTATTGCTTGTTTCTGATCTTGCACAGTGTTTCTGGCACCTCTGAGAACAGCTGAAAGTAGCCGTGTTTGGCTGCAGTCTAGCCTTCTCGGTTCATGATTTATTTTCGTAATTAAAGATGGGCTCCAGAAATTGCCATTTATCACGTAATCCATTTGCACTAATCTTTTTTCTTTCTTTCTTTCTTTCTTTGTTTCATTAATTCATTTATTCTTTCTTTTTGTGGCTGCCTTTGTTCCACAGCATGATATCGCTTCTTCACCGTCAGACCTGAAATGCCAGATGGTGGCTTGTACATTTTTAAATAATTTATAGCCCCCCTTTACTTTTCTCTTTCAGATTCAAAAGTCAAGCACCATCTTTTCAGCCCTAAAACAACAATTAGCCCTCATATGCTACAAACTAAACCTGGTAAATTTTCTCCATTTTTAACATTTTTTTATTTTAATTCATAAAATTATAAAATAGAGACAAATTAATTAATATGAATACTGAAAATTGTGAAACAGGATGGATGAGATACTTTCAGCATAAACCACATCATTAATTATACTCATATCAAAACTTTTTTGCTGATATTTTCATCTGGTTTTACATTGTTCCAGTACTCAACTAATGGTAGCTAATGGTAACTAATGGTATATATTTCATGAGAGCACTTTTTTTTCTCCGTGCCTCACCTGGAAACTGGCAAACCTATAAGAAATCTATAGTACAATGGGTGTTGTCTTTATTATTGATTCTGTTACAAGTCTTTATAACTAAAAGTAGCCTTTCTTTTAAAGTATGATATATATACACTTTAAAAAAAAATTCTTGTTTTTATGCAGTCCTGAAAACTGCTGCATTTAGAACTCAGCCACCAAAGACAGAAATAGGTAAAGCTGTTTTACTAAAATGATTACTATATCTTTATTGGCTTACTGTCTATATATTTGATGGGTGAAATGCCAAGTACTCTTTTCTTGGATGTGACTTCCATTGAGTTCAAAGAGATTTACAAATGGTCTGGATTCTATGAACCATGCCTGGAGAAGTTTATGGAAGGAATTTTTGCAGTTCTGCCATTTCCATTGGACCCCTCTGTGCTCCTCCAGTCATTCTTAAGAGCAGGGGACCTTTGAAAGGGCAGTCGAGTCAACAAAGGATTTAAAGCCAGTGTGGTGTAGTAGTTAGAGTATCAGATTAAAATTAAAAATCTCACTGTAAAATCTGAATTTTTAAAAAGTGTCTTTCCATTTTTTCATAGAATGTTCTACATCTAAGTTACTGAATCTTTCTTCTTTTTTTAATGGACTCAATCCTGGGATGTGCTGAGGAGTTCTTGCTTCATGATACTGCAGCTAGACAAATATTTAGTTGAAGGTTGACTACTTATATCTTCAAAGTCAAGCCTATGTTAGACTCATCAAAAAAAACTGTACAAGTAAAGTATTAGACAACAAATGGTGTCCTTAAAATGAATTAGCCTTCTCTTTTACAGTCCTTTTTCACAGCTGTTATCAAACACTTTCTCTTTGTCTCTAAACACAGTCACAAATGAAGCGGTTACAGATCACCTAGGTTGCTGTCCATTTCCTCTGACTTCTTCAGGCTGCTGTCTCAATGGTGTCTCAATGGTGTAGCCCCAAAAGCTCAAGGAGTTAATTCTGACTCTCAGTCTATCTTGCTTCAATTCCGGTAAGTGAGCCAAATTGAAGCAAGATAGACTGAGAGTGTGCACACATACAAGTGGTTGATAACTTCTGTGGAAAAGGACTGTAAAAGAGAAGGCTAATTCATCTTAAGGATACTATTTGTTGTCTAATACTTTATTTGTACAGGGGGGGTTGGTGGTTTGCATAACTTGCATATGTTGTACATCCATTGGTGGCTGATTATGTTAGACTCATGGCTTGAATTACAAAAGAGGGCTTGCTTTGCCATCTTTAAGACCTCATGGACACAGATAAGAAGCACAGACAAAGCTTCCTCTGCTTTGCCTTCCTGCAAACTGTGCCTTAACCATAGGATCTAGCAAGAATAACAAGCAGCAGAGTAGATTACATCTCCCTTGAGCAGGTTTTGTTTGTGTTTGAAAGTCTTTGTCACTATTCCAAAGGCAGCCGGACCATTTTATCAACCCTCCTAATCTCCTTTCAGACTTCAACAGACTGTGTAAAAAAATTCTTTTGTATACCTCTCTTTCATCTTTCTTGCAATAACAATTTATGTTTTTCTCATAGAACCACACACATGTTGTATCTATGTTCACTGCACATGGTGCCAGGCCCAGATTTCTGAACAATGTAGCAGTTTATAACTCATGTTATTTATTTCATTTCTAAAAGAGGAAGAAGACCATGAGCCTTTGAAACCCAAAATTTTGTTCAGCCCTGATGTGTCTCAGACCATGCCTGGTAAATATATCTTTGGTTTGTATGCATGCATTCATTCTAAACTGTGTATCTCAGAAATGTTGCCCCTTATCTACTTTGGCATAGCTTGGAATACACATGATGATTTTCCCTGAAAATGTGGTGCACTGTTCAAGGGCTATAAAATGGAAACTCTACAGATTACACAAGCCTAAAGTGTCTTTTGCGGTCTCGTTTCAGTTACTGAATACTGAGCGGAACTTTTATTAATTCAAAAGATATTTATTATTTGTTGAGTGTGCTTATGAAGTTGACTGCAGAATTTTAAAGTCAGATTTAAAAAAAATAAAATCACACACTACATGCTGCAATTTTAAATATTATGTTGCATCAAATGAAAAGATGCCCATCTTTTATTTAACATGATTGCTTGCTAATGATTGGTTGATGTTTCTGGCTAAAAATGCTTGCTTGATGGCTTTTGATGGCTGGAAGATGCTGCTTCAATGAACATTGGCAGCTGGTGATGCTGGGGTATGGTGTGTGTATTAGCTGAAAAAAACAGTTGGGGGTCACAACATAATCCAGGGGTCAGCAGCATATGGTTTTAGAGCCAGATGTGGATCAATGGGTAACCAGATATGGCATATTTTAAAAATACATTCTTTAAGTTGAGGTATATTGTTGTTGTTATTCGAATAGCCAGTATGTGAAGGGAATGGCGGGCAAAGAGTTGTAAGCTTCATAGAGGTGTTTTACAGAAAGAGACATGATAGTGGTGAACAATTTCCAGTAATCCAAGTACAAACCAGATACATATTTATGCCAGTGCACTAAACTAATCGTGCAAGATGCTCCTGTGAAAATTTGTTATGTATTTTGAGACCTTGTATGTGCCACTGCCTAATAAAGAACTCGCAATGATCAGTGTTTGAGCTTCACAAACTTTATGGATTATCAGTCAATGTGACAGGCTAGGTTCAGCCTTTCCCTAAGAACAGCCAATAAGAACTGATGGAACGTTGAGAGAAGGAGACATGGGAAACAGGAGCTGAGAAAAATGACCGTTAGGGGTTAGCAGCTGAGAGAGGACAGTTTAAGGGCTGAAGTGAAAAAGTTTTTTTTCTGACTGAAGGGGAACTATATAGAAGAGCTGCTTGGAACAGCCTGAAAATAGTAACTTTGTAACATAAGGATCCCAGTTATAAGTATAGGATCTCAGTTCAAAAGTTCAATGGAAGTAAAACATTTCTTAGACTTTACTTTCCTCAATGTTTTCTTCTTACAAATAAAAGTTTTCTTGTTTGATTAACCCTGTGGGCTGCATGTCTAAAGGGAAGAAGCACACATATACACACAATTTAATATCTCGGTCTATATACATATATTCTAGGATATGAATGAATAGTGGCAGCAAGTGATTGGAACAGTTTTTGACCCCCAACCCCAATTGTTAAATTGTTAAACTTATGAATTAGTGTTGTTTAAAATGGGTAGATTTGTAGTTTAGTATAGGTTATATTGTTAGAGGGCTAAATTACTAGAATATGTATTTGTAATTTGGAAGATACATGGGCTAAGTTCAGACTGGCAGTTTGAAGCAGGAGGGAGTCATGGCAGAAAATACCCAGAACAAACTATTCTGGGTTTTCCCAGTCACACTGCACTGACTGATGCGGGAGCATACCGGGGAGGAGGCGCAAGGGAGCGTTCACACTGTTGGCCCAGAGACACGGCTGTAAGTGGCTTTTTCTGGTAATCCGGTTATGTGTGCTTATGCACTCATGCACATAAGCACATCTTTACTGGATCGTGGCTTTTTGCCTTCACACTTCTGTGAAATGGGATGTACAAGACAGGTTGAGTATGGCTGGGGAACACCTGACAGATGTGCCTATGTGAACGGCCCCTTTAATCCGTTTGTGAAACGTTTCTGCGTCATGCCTATATTGGGGCAAACTGCCAGTCTGAACTCGGCCATGTACTTTGTAACAAATTGTATGTATGTTGAAAGGGTGTTTTGTTTTGTTTTTAATAAAAATCGATTTCCCCCCAATCTATTTTCCCAATTAGTTCTGTGTGATGGAGGGATGATTATTAAAGGGAGCTTGGCTACCCTGTCTGTGGATGTCTCTGGGAGTGAGAGAGTGGACCTGAGTGTGACATCCTGACCTACTTATACTTATGGATAGCCCAGGCTAGCCTGATCTCATCAGATCTTGGAAGCTAAGCAGGATCAGCCTTGGCTAGTATTTAGAAAGGTGACCTCCAAGGAATACCAGGGCTGCAACACAGATGCAGGCAATGGCAAACCACCTCTGAAATGTCTCTTGCCTTAAAAACAAGTCTAGCTGACCACCTAGTAGTGCATAATGCTAAAAGAGCTAGAACTTCTGGCTGACAGGAAATCTTATTCTACACAATGCCATATAATAATAATTATTAATAATAATTATTATTACCTACTTATAAACCATATCCTGAAGAGGACAGGTTGTGGAGGGTGGTAGGCACTCTGTGTGAGTGGACAAGGGGTGTCACAATCAACACTTCCATTTTCTATAATGTTAAGTTGTCTATTTCAGTTATGGAAATAGGCTTTCTTAATATAGGCTCTTTGTTGATCCCTTGCTCTGGATTTTGGTGTAGTTTGGCTCTTTAATTAAAAGGTTGCAGGTTCCTGATGCAGTCTGTAAAAGTGAATGAACTTTGCAGCTAAGAAGAACAAGGAGACATGAGACTCAAAATGGATTCTGTTTGCTTTGTGGGCAGAGAAGTGATTCTGCTTTACAGATTAGCTTTGTCTGTCTGGGGTGCCTGGTAGTTAGCTTTGTCTGTCTGGGGTGCCTGGTAGCTATCCTTTGCACAATATGTGTATTGTGCATAAATAGACAAAAAAATGAAAATATCATAAGTTTCTGGTGTTTTCTACTCACAAGGAAATGGATCTGTAGTGTCTGCCCTTGAAATTTCCTCCTACTGGGAGAAGCCAAAAGAAAGCAAGACACAACTTCACCATGTTGGGATAAGGGCTTATGATTGCTAGCCTCCAGGCGGGCCATGGGGATCTCCAAGAATTACAACTGATCTCCTGATGAGAGTCATGAGGTCGCCTGAAGAAAATGGCAACTTTGGAGGGTGGCCTCTATGGCATTATACCCTGCAGAGATGCCTCCTTTCACCAAACCCTTCCCTCCCCCAGCTCCACCCCCAAATCTCCAGGAATCTCCCAACTCGGATTTGGCAACCTTGTAAGGGCTGCAGCTCAGAGGGAAAACTGTGCTGTAATCCTTGTAACCCCTTGTGTTGTCAGCTCAGTTGGCCTCCCTACTTTAGTTCCCAACCTGCTGAAAGGGCCCATCTGATTCCACCTTGTGGGCCCAACAGATTTATATTGCTGCTACCAATTTTATTGTTTATTGTTTTTATGATTTTAATGTGATTTTATTGCAATGAGTCTTTGACTTGATTTGTTGTGATCCATCCTGAACCCGTTTGGGAGGGTGGAATAAAAATCCCAAAAATAAATACATAAATAAAATACAGGGAGGGAGAGAGAGAGTCGATTTTGATTGAATGGAAGAGTTAAGCACTTATTCCTTCTGCTCTCTATAATAGACCTCCCAGTCCAAATCAGGATTTTATGTGGGCTGCTCTTTGCTCTAGGAATATCCAGTCACACATTTTCAGTATCTCATCTAATTAGGTTTTCAAAGGAATGACAGTTACAAATGGGAAGAACCATCTCTCATATCAAATTGTGCAATCCTTTGTTTGGTTTGCTGTGTCCCCCACCCCTATTTTAAAGTGTTTCTTTCCTTTATGTTATTTTAAAGCATTGCTTTTGGATGGTATGTTATATGTTATTGTGGGTTGATCCTCTGTTGTGTTTTTTAGCTTTCTGTGGGCCACTTTGTGTCCCTATGAGGAGAAAGACAATAAAAGTTTTCTAAATAGATTATTTAACTAAATAAATGGAAAAAATCTTTATTGCATGCTTCATGGTGATTTACAAGATTATTGCTGATTATTTTTGTTTTTATTTATTAACATTATTGATACAGAACTTGAAGGAATTACCTTTAGACCTGAACAACCAAAGTCAACAACAGGTAAAAGTTGAACAGCTTTGTTGGTTTGGGAAGAGTATGCACAGGGTGGTGTGAAAGATAGCACATTTTCAAGGGAAAGCATAGTGAAGAATCCAAATAATTGTGAAACCCCAGGTTTGTAACCCCACTTGTGTAACACCAGGGGGGCCTTTGACGTTTCTCAGACAGTACACCCCATTGTCTCACTCTCACAGCAACAGCTTTTGAAACACAGAAACAGCTTGTGAAATTAGAAACAGATTTTCTTTTTTTAATTTACAGTTTTCCTTTTCACATCATAGTTTAGGACCAGGAACCTTAAGTAGCTGCTAATTTCATTACTGCTTTAAACTAAACTGTATAGTACCATTGACTCGGCAGTGAACATCTACATCATTATAATTGCTCTTCATCAGTTTGTCATGTTTAATCATTTTTCATGATTATTGCTGAATTGATATTTCTCTGTGTTCTCTGTAAGCTAGAATACCTTAATTAAAAGCTCCTCATATTCAATTCCTTTCAGCTCCAAAAGAAACTCGTCGTGTGCCTGCCAGGCCTAAAACATCTGCTAGTCCTGGTATAGCATCAACCAAGCCTGGTAAGTGATTTACTATTTGGAATTTCTAAACAATTTTTTCATCATGAAGTCACAGTAAAACCCTTGTCTAGGGTTGCCAGCCAAGGGCCAGGAGCTTCTGTGAGGAGGCTTGAGCATCAAATGGCATCATATGATGTTGCACAACACCACAATGTCATGTCTGGTCACATAACTGGAAGTGATGTCACACATCACCAAGAATGCTCTAGTAATTTGCCCAAATCCTATGATTCTACCATATTGTTTTGGGGAATGCTAAAGCATTGGCTCAATTTCTCCTACTACTGTATCAGCCAGGGACAGGGCTTTTTTTTTCTCCAAGGGCTTGCCTTTTTCTCCAAGCTAGTAAGTGATAAAGAGGAGTTAGTGTGCATGAAATGTCCAAAAACCCCTTCTGGGAAACCCTTTCCCTCCCAATTCCCTTTATAAGGCTTTGGAGTTCCTTTTTGTTGGTAGAAATGACCACTATTCAAGGTCTGGGAGCCAGTTTGGTGTAGTGGTTAAGAGTGCAAACTCTAATCTGGGAGAAGCGGGTTTGATTCCCCACTTCTCCACATGCAGCTGCTGGTGTGACATTGGGTCAGTCATAAATTCCTTCAGAGCTGTTTTCTCAAGGGCAGATCTCAAAAGAGCTCTCTCAGCCCCACCTACCTCACAGGGTGTCTGTTGTGGTGAGGGGAAGGGGAAGAGATTGTAAACCACTCTGAGACTCCTTCGAGTAGTGAAGACCAGGGATAAATCCAATCTCTCCTTCTTCTTCTCCTATATATCATGTCCTAATCCTAAAAGCTGTGCAATTTATATAAGACCATGTAAAGTATCAAATAATTGTAATTCCTGTACACTGAAGATAAGCAAATGCTGGAATACAATTCAAATACTGAGAAAATACTAAGGATACAATTCTCAAATGCATGAGAAAGATGCATTTCTGTCTCTAGGGGGGCACCGTAGTTGTCACAAGAGAAGGAAAAAGGTTTCCATTTCCTTTTTGTATAGTTGGTGGATCTGTTTCTGTCCTCTCAGCTAAGCCTCAAAAGACTGCAATTTATGTTCCCAAAGTAACAAAGTGACTTTCAGAGCTAGCTACACAGGGCTCCTCTTCTACTGAGGTGTCCTTGCTATCGCTGAGCCCTAGCTGACCCATGACAGTTCCCTTGGATCCTCCTTGTCCTTTCATGTGCCTTTTCCAAATATGCTGACTGTTTTACCCCTTCACCTCCCATTTGGCTGTGACTCTTAGGAACCAGTTATAAGTTGGGGTGGCCGCCTGGTCATTCCTGCCAAACCAGTGTTATCCAATCCTCCCAGGTCTTGTACTGCTCATTTTAAAGGCTCCAGGCTGGAATATTAAAACCCATCCATCATGGCTTCCCAGTGACAGTTCAACCAAATAAAGAAAGTTGCCCCATCATTTGTCGCCATATACTTGACTATCTCCCTTCCTGGATGCCACTCAAGGCTCACAGAGATGTGTGTATCAGCCTCCCGTTCATTATACATGTAACATTTTCTTAGGAGTTATTTGGCTTCTATATGCACAGTTGCGCAGTCTACCACCTTTCTATGGCAGAAATGTACCACTGAAAACTGAACAGTTACTTTTTATCTATGTTTCATCCCACACATCCTCCAAAGAGCTCAGGATGGGGTACATATTTCTCTAGTCCTGAAAACAATCCTGTGAGATGGATCAGGCTGAGAAAGTGTCTGGCTCAAGATCACCCACGGAGCTTCAGGGCTGAATGGTTCTGCCAAGCCTAACCACCAAACCACACGGGCTCAACTTCTTTTCTTTTTTTTCTTTTTTTCATTTTTATTTACAGCTTTTGTCAAATACAAAATAAAAACCGCTAAAGAAAAAGACCTTATGTATAGATTTAAAGTCTGAATAAATTACTGCAAAGCATGGTATCCATCAAAAATAGCAGCCAGACTTGAAGGCCAAACTGCATGTTCTGGATTCTGTGAATGAGCTTCCAAGCATTTTTCTTTTAAAAAGCACAGTCTCACCAGGCCATGATTGGATTGGGGCTATGTCCTTCCTGTGCCCTTTTTTAAACTTGAAATGGTCCTGTGGAGCTGCTAGTTTTTCTCTTAGCATATTTATATTGGGGCTTGTCTGGTTACCCTAGGTGAATATGGTTCAAGAGGGAAGCTTGGTTCTTCTCCTCTCACATCATGGTCCCTTTCTGAAGAGACCCGTATACTTGATTTATTAAAAAACAAAACTGTTTAGAAACTCCCAGATCTGCCATACATTATACAGCTTGACCCTGATTTTCTCCTTTTCCTCTGTTTAAACATCTGTATGTATGTATTTTGTTGACTGTTAACACTTCATGCATCAGATGAAGTAGGCTCTGTCTCATGTAAGTTTTTACCACAATAAGCTAAAGGTATCACCAGAATTTTGTTGTTTTATATCCTTAAAGGTTTCTAACCTCCAGGTGGGGCCTGGTGAACTCCCAGAATTACAGCTGATCTCCAAACTACAGAGATCAGTTCCCCTAGAGAAAATGGTAGCTTTGGAAGGTGGAATCTATAGCATTATACCTGCTGAGGTCCCTTCCATCCCGGAACCCTGGCCTCTCCAGGCTTCAACCCGGAGTTGGCAACCCATCCTATCTTATCTGTTGAGTATGTACAATAAACAAACCAGCTGAATATATAAGAAAGTGATGAATCACTACTTAGCAACCAGAACAATGTTTTCCTTTTCTGGCTACATGTTTAGCTAACTGAGCAGGCCATTTTTCTTTTGATGCCTCATGTAAAAGACATTTCCATATATGTGTTAGGTCTTCTAGTTTGTTCAAATTAATTAGGCCTTTTCTATTTTTTAAGATGTAGTTAGTGTCATTGACCCAGCATTGCAAAGTTTTCATCTGATTGAAGTTTGTACAAAGTTATACTCCCAAGGAATTGGATTGCAGCCATTGTCAAGTAATTGCTTTCCTTGATTAAAAAAAAAAAATCCAGAACAGTTGTGTAGTAACATTCTGTAGCAAAAGAATACTCCATTGTGCTTAACCCCAGTGAAATAAATGGGTTTAAGCAAATTTACCTCTAGGATTAGATTGTGCCAATATGCGTTGGCTCACAACTACATTGAAACTGTCAATTTGACTTGGATGCAGACTACTGCAAACAGAGATCTTTACATGGAATGTCACTCTCCCACCATTCTTCCAAATCCAGCCCTTCTGCTTCTAGAAAAATCTGTTCCTGACCTTTTGAACTGGTAAGGTGGGAAATGCAACTGGAGTGAGGAATCTGCAGAAAGGGGGAGAGGCTTTGCTATGAGAATCCCCTTGGATCTGAGGAATTATTATACATATTGGTATCAATAAATGCTTGATTTATTTTCAAATGTCATCTCTGAGGTTTATCCCCCCCCCCTTTGGTTTTTCTTTAAGACCATAGCACTTGCAATCAGGTGGGGCATTGGGAAATCCTGTGGGTCAGGGAAGCCAGGAGAAAGAGAGAGAGAAAGAGTGGTGAGCAGCAAGTTGTGAGCCCGCCCACAGCAGAGGAAGAGGGCTCAGCTTGGCAGCGCTGGCCTCACTGTGCCTGCGCCAGACCAGCCATGTGACCCTCCATCATGTGACATGGGCTGGGTTGGCTAGTGTAGGTGTAGTGAGGCCACCACCACCAAGCCAAGTCCTCTTCCTCTGCTGCGACTTGAGTGGCATTTAAAAGAGGGGGTGAGTTCTCTTCCGTGTTTAAAAGGGGGAGCTGAGTCCTCTTCCTCATCTACTTGCTTCCTCGTCTACATGAGTCGGGGAGGGGGGAAATCTTCAGCGCTCTCTCTTTTCCATTTTGCAATTTTATTTTTTGCAATTTTATGTTATTTTATTTTGCATTTTAAAAAACCTATTTATTTTGCAGCTTGGAAAAAAGAAGATGAGACTGAAGGTTCCCAAACTGTGCCCAGGGTCATTTTGGAAACCCCACACACGTCTCACATTTTACTTTTTTTAAAAAAAATTAATTTTCCCATTGGGTGGGGCTCATCTGTGGGGACATTGCCCCAATTGTCCCCCAGTGGCTATTTATGAATACCCATACTTTGCTTAGAAAACAAATTTTAATACTTCTAATTTGTTCTTATGTGACCACATTCAGCAATATAATTTTGGCACATCATGTTCCTTGGAAAGAGTTTTGCAAATGTAACCTTTAAGGAGAAAGCCCACATTTCTTAATTTGTTAAACATCCATAGAGTTATATGTTTGCCCTGCTGATTCTTCATAGAAGTTAGATCTATTGGGGAAATGAGCCACATCCCCAGTCCAAATATCACCTCCCTCATCAGGGATCCAGTCAGGTATCCCCAGTGTAATGTATCGTTTGACAACCACCACCCCCATTACGCAGTGGCTGAAGATAAGCAGGTGCTATCAACTCAGCCCTTCATGATGCAAACAGTCTTTCAGTTTGGATTGTAGCTGCAGTCATTATTTATAGGGTTGCCAACCTCCAGGTGGGGCCTGGAGTTCTCCCAGAATTACAAGTGATCTTCAGACTTACAGGTGATCTCCAGATTACATAGATCAGTTCCCCTACAGATAAGGGCATCTTCAGAAGGTAGACTCTATGGTGTCACATCTCTGTTCAGCTCCCTCCCCAGACTCTGCCTTCCACAGCCAGCACCAATGTTCCCTCTAAGCTGTGGAGTCTTGTGAGCAAAAATTCTACTTTGTGAGCTACTGGCATTAAAGTTGTGAGCATGTAGTTTTGCTACTGTATAAATTAGTTTGCTCTGGATCCCTCCTTCCTGAGCTAAGAGAAAAATATACAAGCTGGAGGCTAAAAAACTGTGAGCTAGCTCACACTAACTCAGCTTAGAGGGAACACTGGCCAGCACCCCAAATCTCCACAATTTTATAAACCAGAGTTGGCAACCCTATGAAGCCAATGCACTTTCAGATAAGCATCTCCAGCCTACTATGTGAAGTAAAGGACCTGATCTCCATTGAAGGGTGACTTCATATGACATACTAGTTCCTAAGGCAGGGTGCAGCAATTCTTTGCAAGCAGACCCACTTAAGAAGCAGGACTCCAACCTTGTTTCCCCCAGTGGTAGAGATGGAAAGGCCTGGAAAGAAACAGAAAAAATGAAAGAAAGAAAAAAGGATTATGGAATATTTTATTTTCAGTGATAAATAGGGTTGCCTTTTCCCAGTTGGAGGCAGGGGGTTGCCCGGTTTTTTGGGCTCCTGCCCCCCCAAGTGACATCACCTGAAATAAATGCAACATGCCTACGTCATGTGATGTAGGCACATCAGTGACCTGGCAACCCTAATGATAAATAACATGTTTATGACAAGGTGATCATATATTTAATCCGATCTCCTATTGTATGTATATACATATGCCAATAAAGGCTTGTCAAAGTAAAGTATATTTAATCCTAAAAGCTGTGCGATTTATATAAGACTAGCCACGCTTCTCCCCCGCAGTTTCCTGCCTGTGTGACCGGGGCCCATGTAAAGTATCAAATCATTGCAATTCCTGTACACTGAAGATAAGCAAATGCTGAAATACAATTCAAATACTGAGAAAATACTAAGGATACAATTCTCAAATGCACGAGAAAGATGCATTTCTGTCTCTAGGGGGGCACCGTAGTTGTCACAAGAGAAGGAAAAAGGTTTCCATTTCCTTTTTGCTTGTGGGCTTCATTTTTTTGGTATAGTTGGTGGATCTGTTTCTGTCCTCTCAGCTAAGCCTCAAAAGACTGCATTTTATGTTCCCAAAGTAACAAAATGACTTTCAATCTGTAAGAAGTACTAATATTGAATTTTCTCCATTTTTCGGGGGGGGGGTATTTCCTGGAAAAAAACATGTGGGTTGGACAGGTTTTTTTCCATGGCTTCAAAATTGCCAGAAATTTTACATCTCTGCCCAGTGGATCTCTGTGCAAATAAAACAGTAGTCACAGGGACTTACTTAGACCCATCAGGACAATCTCGTCACAGGAAATAATAAGCTGGTATGGACAGCTAAATCCTTTTTTGTTGTTACTTTCTTTCAGGTCCAAAAGGAAGCCGACGTGTTGTATCCAGGCCTAAAACTTCACCCAGTCCAAATGTAACACAAACAAAACCAGGTAGATACATCAATATGATGGATTTCTTTTAAATCAGAGTGCCTCTGCTTATCAGTAAAATGTCTCCACTAGTAGTTTTATTTACTGATATAGTATCATTGTAGTAACTGTGTCATGTATCTTCTTTATAACACCAAAGAATAGTAAATCTTGTCTTTTCAGAATTAAATCATAGGGCTGAACAATGTTGAATTAGCTATGCCTCACCCTTTGAGTATCAAATCTGCATTTGAATCCCAGCCCAGCAACTTCTCCCTGCATTCTCCCTTTGAAACTCTTCTGCTGAATGAAAACCTTTCAAGTTATTACTGAGTGTCAAGGAAAGTTGAAATTCCACTTTAGATTTTACTGAACTAGGGTCCCGGTCACATGGGCTGGATAACACAGGGGGGGAAAGCGTGACTATTAGTGCCGTCGCAATTTGACGCACCCCAACGCGATCAGATGCGAAGGCATTGTTTCCTTGGGTGGTTGTTTCCAGCGCGCTCCAACCAGGAAGCAGGGACGTGAGAGGAGCACGCTGGGGCGATCAGATGGAGAGTGTCTGTCTGCAGCCCATCGCAACCATTTAATACTGGAGTTTCCCAGGTACTTTTAAACTCTGCATCTTCGGCCAGACGATACTGGTTGGCCACGGGTTGTGCCACGCTTGTCAGATGTGGCGGTGTGATCGCACCCATATAATCCGCCTGGCATTCGTGGCTCTCCCGCAGCAAACTCTGCATGTGATCGGGGCCATGGTGTATTAAGTTATTTTTGGACACGGGATAGTGCTTGCCTTGGAAGCAGACTGTCTCATTACCTTATTGTGTGTGTAAATCTGCTCAAGTCACTTCCGACTTATGGCAGCCCAATGAATTCATGTCCTCCAAAACATCCTATTGTTAACAGCCTTGCTCAGGTCTTATAAACAAAGGGCCATGGCTTCCTTTCTTGAGTTAATCCATTTCATGTTGGTTCTTCCATTTTTCTTGCTGCCTTCAACTTTTCCTAGCGTGATTGTCTTTTCCAGTGGCTCTTGTCTTCTCATAATGTGACCAAAATACAATAGCCTCAGTTTAGTCATTTTAGCTTCTAGGGAGAGTTCAGGTTTGATTTTATCTAGAACCCACTTATTTGTCTTTTTGGCTGTCCACAATATCCATAAAACTCTCCTCCAATACAACACTTCAAACAAATTTACTTTCATCCTGTAAGCTTTCTTCATTGTCCAACTTAACACCCAAACATAACAATGGGGAATACTATTGCATGAATTAACTTGGTCTTGGTTGCCAGTGACACACATCCTTACCCTTAAGAATCTTTTCTAGCTCCTTCATGGCTGCCCTTCCCATTCTCAATCTCCTTCTGATTTTTTGGTTACAGTCTCCCATTTGCTTGATGATGGAGCTAAGTAATCATAGAAAATTTGGAACAATTTCAGTTTCTTCATTGTCAGCCTTAACATTGTGTAATTCCCAGCCCTGACCTTGATAGCCCAAGGAATCTTGATCTCATCAGATCTTGGAAGCTAAGCAGGACTGGCCTTGGCTAGTATTTGGATGGGAGACCTCCAAGAAATACCAGGGTCATGATGCAGAGGTAGGCAATGGCAAGCCACCTCTGAACTTCCCTTGACTTCAAGCCCCATTAGGGGTCACCAGATATCAGCTTGACTTGATAGCAAAATACCCCCAACATTGTGTAATTCCCCAGTAGTCATTTGTATTTTCTTGATGTTCAGCTGTAATCCTGCTTTAGCACTTTCTACTTTAAACTTCATATGTAGTCATTTAAAGCCTTCACGGTTTTCTGGCAATAATGCAGTGTCATCTGCATACCTCAAATCATTAATGTTCCTTCCACCAATTTTCACTCTACCTTCATCTAAATCAACTTTCCTTATAATACGTTCTGCATATAGATTGAAGAGATAGAGAGAGAAAATATATCCTTGTCTGACACCTTTGCCAAATGGAAACCAGTTTGGTGTAGTGGTTAAACGCGCAGACTCTAATCTGGGAGAACCGGGTTTGATTCCCCACTCCTCCACTTGCACCTGGCTGGATGACCTTGGGCAAGTCATAGTTCTGATAAGAGCTGTTCTTGAAAAATGGCCGTTTCTGTCAAGAGCTCTCTCAGCCCCACCTACCTCACAGGGTGTCTGTTGTGGGGAGGGGAGGGGAAGGGAAAGGAGTTTGTAAGCCACTCTGAGACACCTTTGGGTAGTGAAGGGCAGGGTATAAATCCAATCTCTTCTCTTCTTCTTTCTCCAGATTCTGTACTAACAGGAGCCTCTTGTCCAGAGTACAGGTTGCACATAAAAACAATCAGATGTTGTGGCACACCCATTTCTTTTTCAACCAGCCATAGCTTTTCATGATGTCATTGTTGTTCAGTTGCACAGTCGAGTCTGACTCTTTGCAACCCCATAGACCACATCACACTAGGACTTCCTGTCTTCCATCATCCTCCAGAGTTTGCTTAATTTCATGTTCGTTGCGTTGAAAGGACTGTCTAACAGTCTCATCCTTTGCCGTCCCTTTCCCCTTTCGACTTTGACCTTCAATCTTTCCTAACATCAGGGTCTTCTCCAGTGAGTGCTCCCTTCTCATTTCATGGCCAAAGTATTTGAGCTTCAGCTTCAGTATCTAGCCTTCCAGGGAACAGTCAGGGTTGATTTCTTTTAGGATTGACTGATTTGATCTCCTTGCAGTCCAAGGGACTCTCAAGAGTCTTCTCCAGCACCATAATTTGAAAGCCTCTATTCTTCGGTTCTCAACCTTCCTTATGGTCCAACATTACTACT